GACAGGTTGTTCATTGCTTTCGGCCTCTGCCACGGGAGATTGCTGTTCTTAAGGTGAAGGCTCATACCACTGAGACTAGTGTGGAGGCATGTGGAAACGCTTTGGCAGATCGGTCCGCAAAGGCCGGTGCACTGGTTCAGGAAAGGGGGGTTCTGATGCTGGCCATCCCTTCAGAGGTTTCGTTAGACGAGTTTAAAAAACTGCAATCGCAGGCGGGTTTGCAGGAGAAGGCTAGATGGACAGCAGCAGGAGCCTCCCAAGGGTCGAATGACATTTGGTGCCTGAACAAAAGATGGTGTTTGCCAAAGTCCCTTTTCCCCATGATGGCCCACTTGGCTCACTACCCTGGGCACCAATCTAAGACGGCTATGTGTGCGTTGGTAGACGAGCATTGGATTGCACCTGGGTTTCAGTACTGCTGCAGCTACCTTTGCAGCTTCTTGCCTAGTTTGTGCCCTACACAACCCTGGCAGAACGGTAGTAATACCCCCCAAGGCACTCACCAAAACCTGAACGCCCCTTCCAACGCATCCAGATCGATTACATCTCGTTACCAAAGAGTGGGTCGTACGAATACGCCTTGGTCTGTGTAGATATGTTTTCAGGCTGGCCTGAAGCGTGGCCCGTCACATGTGCCCAACGCTAGTACCACGGCGAAGAAAATCCTGTCTGAGGTTGTGTGCCGCTGGGGTCTACCTGAAACCATCGAGTCCGATAGGGGGTCACACTTCACTGGACAGATCTTTGCAGAGGTATGTAAAGCCCTTTCACATCAACCAAGGGCTACACACCCCGTATCACCCCCGAGAGTAGCGGTAAGGTTGAACGTCTCAACGGAATCCTTAAAAACAGGATCTCCAAAATCATGGCCGATACCAAAAAACCTTGGCCTGAGTGTCTCCCCATTGCCCTCTATTCCATCCGGAATGCTCCTCGGCAACCACATGGGCTGTCACCCTACGAGGTGTTGTTTGGGGGACCTCCCAAAACAGGGTTGTACTTTCCTCAACAGTTGTCGTCTTTGCATTCACAGCTTACAGGTTATGTGCAATCTCTGCAACGGGAGCTGCAGAAGATACACCATCGGGTTCGCGAATCGCTCCCCGATCCAAATGCAATAACTGGTGTTCTTTCTATTGAGCCAGGTGATTGGGTCGTCCTAAAGAAACATCAAAGAAACCGGACTCGAGCCACGGTTCACCGGACCATACCAAGTCCAGCTGAGGACACCTACCTCACTCAAACTCGAGGGACGAGACAACTGGGTGCGCAAGCCACTGCAAGAAGCTTTTCAGCTACACCAGAGAATGAGGGGTGTCATTTTCCTTTTTTCTTTTTGTTTGTATGTCATACATGTGTGTGAACGGAGGAAAAGACGGCAGATACCCCAACCTTTTATTTAAAATGCACCTGCGTTTAGCCAGAACCGCCAACAAAACCAACTGTTGGGTATGCTCTAAGCCCCCCACCCAGTCATCACATGTCCGCAATGGCCGCTTTCATGCCCTATATGACATCCCGCGTCGGCATGAAAAAGCAAGGGACCCCTGGTCAGCCCCCACGTAGACATTTGTCGGTAGAACTTAATGACACATTTTTTAGCAGGTAACATCAGTTTTCAGCAGCCAATATTAGCTCTAGCTCCTGTAGGACCCCTCGTCAGTCCATTATGGGTAACTGGGCAGCTAGGCAGCCCTCAGGTGTGCTTTAACATCAGCTTTGGCACAGGTAACAAGTTTGTTGGGACTACCACCTGCGAGGGAGGTATAACTGTCAATCTGACTAACCAGACTTCCCTTCTGAGTAACCACACTGACCGACCAGACCACGTGTGTTGGAAGGACGGATGTGATGTGCAGCACTGAGGGAGCAAATCCCCCAGTCTGTGCAACTGTTGCTCAGTGCCAGAGGGCCGAACGAGGAACTCCTCCTGCTCTGCTCTGACAGGTCCATACTATTTTTCTTGTGGTTCGGCAGCCTATAGAACATTTCCCCAGAACGCGAAAGGTTCGTGTGCCCCCTCATAAAGCTAGTCCCAGCATCCTATGTAGTGATGGATCATGAAGAGTTGATGGTCCACAAGAAGGTAAGGATGGCAGGGAGAGTTCGCAGAGAGCTGTTCTCTGAGGGCGACCAGGCATGGGCTTGGTTCCCCTCATGGACAGGATGGGGAATAGAACTTATGAAGCGCCTGAACAATTTTTCTGTCATCGTGGATAGTATGTTTAACGAGACCGTAGAGGCTGTCAGAGAAATTGCCCAAGAACAACGGCAGATGGGAATTTTAGTGCTTCAGGAGAAGATGGCCCTTGATTATCTTTTAGCCGCCAAAGGGGGGTTCTGTGAGTTCATCGGAGAGGATTGTTGTTGTACTTGGATAGAAGACACCGATGACAAGGTCCAGGCCCATATGGACAAAGTTAGTGAACTACAGGGAAAAGCTAGAGCTATAGCTAGTGAGGGTTGGAATCCGTTCAAGGGTTTGGGAGGATTGGGAGATTTCCTGTTCTCCATCGGATCTTGGTTGAAGGAAGTGGGAGTGTATGTCCTGATGCTTCTCTTTTTCATCTGCCTTTTATATGCCGCGGTGAGATGTTCCTGTTGCCTCATCGACCGTGTAAGCCAAGCTCGGGCAGACGACCACATCTCCATGCCCGCTCCTGGGATCCCACTCCAACCACTGATCGGAGGAAGACCTCACCAACCAACCACCTTCTCTACAGATTACGTCCTGGCTTCCCTCTAATTTATCTCTCTGAAGACCACATTCTCCAAGACCTTCAAGCAAGCTTCAAGCCTCATCATGGTTTTTGTGTCTGCGATTTGGAAAACTGTCTGGGTCGAGACCAGCCTTGTGTGGCCCCTCTGCAGGGGCAATTTGAGAATCTGTTGCTGGATCTCCCCAGACCACCGTGGGATCACAAGCCTTATTCATACCACAAGTCTGTTTGTGGTTTTTGCAAGAGCCTTCCTGTAGTGAAGGTTCCAACGCTCTTGAGGATCATTGCTTCAATCAAGCCTGTTTGCGTCGAGTCTGCGTCGGGTCTTGTTGTTTCAGGTACCCCGTGGAGCTTTATTCTCAGGGACAACTACAGGAACTCTTTGAGGTTTGAGACTACACCCATCAAGCTGAAGAAGATCAAGAAGGGACACGAGGAGAATATGATAAAACAGGAGGGAATGTCATGGAAATTTTGTATTGTTGGTCGAACTTTAAATGTGTCATATATTCGTGTTATTCATATGTCTCTCGTGTGGCTTAATTAAAGCTCTGAAGGCTGCAATTGGGCCATGCGCATGTACAATGTATGTATTACAGTACTCAGCTTGGTAATGGATGAGATGGCAGATCTGCGCTTATAGACCGGCGTGTATACCACCACGGCATTCGATGCGAATGTCGCTGGCAGTAGACCGTGGGCCTGTATCCACATATCAGCAGCATAGTACCACATGGGCTTCATAACGCAAGGCGCCAAGCGGTGTGAACTCCACGTGTAGGCTTATGCATATCTTACAACCCATTACCAACTTGAAACTGTATCTTGGATGGATGTGTTTTAATAAAGATCGTATCGGGCCCATCCAGGTACAGACTGGTGTTTATTTTTAGGGAATACTTGTACAAAGGATTTGCATACCAATGGGAGCTAGTAGGACAGGAAATATGACCTCAGATGGCTCATGGGGGGGAAGGGAGGAAGTCTGCTGACCTCAGAAGGCTCATGGGGGGGGAGGACCAGTGATAGATAATAGGAAAGGCTATGCTCCAATCGGAATGTACATCCTCTGTGTATAGGCACTCCCCATTGCATTGTTCGGTGGGAGGGGATTGACTTTATTCATGTGGGGGGCATGTGTGTATTTTTAATAAAACAGAGAGCTGAGTCTGAAACCGGCCCTTATGTGAATTCAACCATCATCCTGAGAGTGTCGTTTGATCATTCTAGGGTAACGGAGCTCCACCCCCACATTTCAACAGAGCTAATCCATTTGGATGGGCAGGAATCGTGCAGTTTAGCTGCAGTCGTGGTAAGCGAGATTCGCACAGCTTTATGGGGGATTTCTGCGCAATCAACTGCGAGTACTCACGGTAAGGAGAAATTTGTTAAAGCGAATTTCCAAGACAGTTGTCACTACACCAGCACCTGTAACAGCAACACAGCAAGACCAGTAAACTTCATTCTTCTCTATGTTACTCTTCCCTTCTCAATTACCAAAGTCTCCCATATCTCCATCTCTGTTTTGCTGTAGCTTCAAGAAGGAATAATTCAAGGTATATAAGTTGTTGGTTTGGACTTCGCTTTACCATACTTAATTTTTGCAGTAAGGGAAGTGTCACAGTCCTCCACAGGGTTTTTCTCTGTTCTGAGCTCTTGTATGGTAGATGTCCTTGGGGGCCCCTAGGTGTAGCATGTAAGCACACTTTACTAATGTGCGTAGGTGCATTTCCGTGGGCTAACGTCTACTTTTTAACCACTAACCTACAGGGCACTTATACCCCCTTCCTGCCCAGGCCAATTTCCAGCTTTCAGCGCTGTTACAGTTTAAATGACAATTGCGCAGTCATGCAACACTGTACCCATATGAAAATTTTTATCATTTTTTGTGACAGATAGAGCTTTATTTTGGTGGTATTTAATCACCTCTGGGCTTTTTTTTCTTAAACAAACCAAAAACCACTGAAAATTTTGAAAAAAAAAAAGTTTTTTTCTTAGTTTTTGTTATAAAATTTTGTAAATAAGTGATTTTTTCTCCTTCACTGATGTGCGCTAATGAGGCTGCAGTGATGGGCACTGATAGGCTGCACTGATGGACACTGATAGGTGGCACTGATGGGCACTGATGAGGAGGCACTGGTAGGTGGCACTGATAGGCATTGACAGGCATCACTGATGGGCACTGAAAGACAGCACTCATATATGGCACTGATAGGTGGCACTGATAGGTGGCACTGACTGGCACTGATAGGCGGCACTGACTGGCACTGTTAGGTGGCACTGACTGGCACTGTTAGGTGGCACTGATGCACACTGATAGGCGGCACTGACTGGCACTGATAGGCGGCACTGACTGGCACTGATGGGTGACACTGAAAGGAAGCTCAGATGGGCACTGATATGTGGCATTGATGTGGCACTGATGGGCACTGAAATGTGGCACTGATGGGCACTGGCAGGTGGCATGGATGAGCACTGACAGCTGGCACTGATGGACACTGACATGGTGGCGCTGCTGGGGCTATACAGACAATCAGGACACACTGATCATCAGTGCCCTGATGATCTGTGTACATGTCCACTACAAGGAATGCCGATTACCAGCTCTCCTCTGCTTACAAGCTGTCAACGTGACACCTCTTGGGGAGAGAAATGCCAATAACCGGCATTTCCCTGTTTACATGTGATCAGCTGTGATTGGACACAGCTGATCACATGACCGAGCCAACATCTTGCCCTACTTAGATAGCAGCTCTGCCAAACCAAGAAAAAGACGGTTTATCCCATGTTTGCAGATCTTTGGTAATGTTGCGTAAGATGGGTAGGAAGTTTTTGGCATAGAGATCTTTGAGATGGGTTGGCAGTTGGATTCCTAAATAGGTGATGGCTTCCGATTGCCACGTGAACGGAAAAGTAGATTTCGCTTGTCTAATCGCATCCTGAGATAGGGAAATATTGAGTGCTTGGGATTTAGTGAAGTTTATTTTAAAATTAGCCAGATACTGAAACAGGTTGAAATCTTGTAGAAGGTTAGGTAGTGTAATGTGTGGATGTGTCAAGAATAGAAGGATGTCATCAGCGAAGGCCGCTATTTTTTGAATATTGTCATTCGTCTGATGAATTTAGAAAGGTTCCAGTGTAAGAAAAAAAAGGA